TGTACATACACGCGCTCGAATTGGCAAAAAGTCGCCTGCACGAGTTTGCAAATATACATTGGACGACCCAGACCAGATATATATAATAAATCGGTAATTAACGATTGGCTCTTTCGTTAATTCGATATGTCATTTTTTGCATTAACAGACAGCCCAGACGTGGCGACTTTTAATTGCATAATTCGTATTTAATGTTTAATGCATATAACGAGTATTTGATTATGGCTGCGCTGTGTATTCGATCTGTGCAGATTTTTTATCGGACGTATCTTCGGCTTGAGGCTCTTTTGGCTCGAGCTCGACGACGACGACGACGACGACGACGACGACGACGACGACTACGACGCGGGAACGACTCGAACAAGAGCCCTATAAAATAGTTATGTGCGCATGTAGCTTCGAGCTCCGCTTGGCACGATCCTTGTTGTTAGGAACGGTAGCTGATGATGAATTTCGGCCGCATCGCGAGTGTTAATTGAAAGAAAAACTGGCCACGTGTAAATGATTCTCGCGCACGCGAGCATCTACGGCCTTACAATCGTGCTCGAATATTGGCGATGATCTCTCGGGCTCTCGCGTATGTATACGTACAGCCGCGCGGTAAAAAGTGCCAATGATTTATTTTGTACATCGAGCTATGCGTTGCGGCTTTATGTTTATAATGTATGTCACGATCGTGACGCTGCATTTGAAATATTAGCTGCGCAATCCTGTCCACAAAATGTATATCGTCCTCGATCATTATTAGCTCGTCGGTAAGAAAACACGTTTACATGCTATCGAGGTAAATACTGTTGTTTCAACGTCAACGGGCTTGTCGCTCATTAAAACGACTTTGGTTCGAGCGAGCTTTTCCCTCGGGCCTACCAACAACCGATCCGAAAATTGTGTGCGAGATCTTAAAATTAAATTCAGCTGCCGAATCGATCGCTTATTATATAGGCTCACAAGCACATTCAGACATATATTTCACGAGGATGTCCGCATTGTGTCAATAGACCCGAGGGTGATTCTTCGCGAAGTAGGCCTCGGTATTGGTTCATTTTACACAAGAATTATAAACCAACTACTGCTGGAATCCAAAAGTAAAAAAGGAGAAAAACTAGGAGTGTATGTTGGTAGCCGTCGCAGCGATCCGAGTACGGAGACTTTTCGCTCCCACCGATGCATGCGTGCGCGTATTACACCCCTCCCATCGCACCCATCGCTCGACGTACTTCCTTCCCCTGCCTTGGGACCGCTGCTGCATCGTTACATTACGTTCCTGCACATATTCTGCACTCTGCCCCCTTTTTTGCGCTCTCACCTGACGCTCGCTACGCGTATTATCTGTGCGCTGCGTGCCTACGTGCGAATGTGTGCGTACTGCACCCGGGGCGGGCCCCGTACGCTCCGCCTGCCGTGCAATCAACTCGTCGCTGTCATATACCCTACTTACTTACTTTTATCTTTGTCCTCATCGGCGTATGTGCGGCCGACACAAACGCCCTTTTTTTCTTCCTGTGCACTGACTCGCCGCCGCCACCGCCGCTGCTCTCTGCGATCTGACAGAATGTAGAGCAATGTCTGTTTGCGCCAGTTCATATTTACGCGAGTTTATGTATCGCGCTAGCCTTGCTACTAAATGCGACAATAGTAGAAAAAACGACGCACCGAACCGCTGCTCCTTCTTGCTGTTTTGTATTGTTTTGTTTTGTCGTTGTTTTTTTCTTTTTTTCATCAGCGACGATGCACCGTCCCGAGGCCTTGTTCTCTCCGTTTCGGGGAGTTGCGCGTAGCAGCGCAGCACTTATGGCTGCACTCCTTAACATAAACATGAGTTCGACGAACGCCGATCCGAACAACGGACCGCCCTGCGAATGTGTACGTGAACGCGATTACGGGCTGAATTTGCCGATGGCTCTGCTTTTATATGTGAACTTGCTATTTTTTCATGCACGTTTATTTGCACAACAAAAAATGTTAATTAACGAGAAATTCACATGACAACGTCTCATTAATTAGTTGACATTTTCGTGTCACATAAAAATGTACGAACCTATGCGTTAGAATATTTCCAAGTTTTAAAACTAATGAAAACGAAGCAGAAAATTTGCGAAATTATAATACCTTGTTACGTAAAAAGAAGACAAATGAGAATTTTTCTCTTGACATTTTATCTTCGGCCTCGACGATCCTTATAATAATAATAATGATAATAATAATAATAATAATAATAATAATAGAAATGATAATAATAATAAATAAATAATAATATAATTTCAGTAAGGTTTAAAGTTTCTCGAAACAGCTTGAGTATATAAGCAAAATAAAGACTTGCATCGGATTTGACAGCATCTCTCATAATAATTATCCATTCAAGCCACCTGTAAGAGGCGAAACAATGCACATACAAAATAGCAAGCTATACAACTTATCTCATACGTAACGAGCTCATTAACCCATTGAAAAAATCTACTCGATACATTTCGAGCGCAATAAATCCAGCTTCTTTTGATTTTTATTTTATTATAAATCACAAGCTGCGCTGTTATAAAATCGATTCTTCCACATAACGATTCTCTTTCGAGTTTATAAATAAAAAATATTGAGATGTATATTTGTCCAGGCTATATTATATTTCATTTAGCGTAACGTAGGCAGCGAACACTGTGTGGGCAAATATTTATCTCTTAATAATCGTTAAATAATTAAGTACTTAAAAAGGTCCGGGTGCATATCGAAATATATCAGACCGCAGCATCGTTCGATTACGCCACAATAATTTTCTGCGCTGTTTCGTCATTCCATTTAACACAGGCGCGCGCGTGCGCTGCGGTAAGTATCGTGTGCACATAGAGCACATATGATATACACATATGGTGCGCCTGCAAATGCGCACAAAGTAAAAATGAGTAGAAAAAAAAGTTGAAAATCGATTTATCGGGACAGCCCATCTCATAAGCACTCGCGCCACTTGTGCCGCTGCCGCGCCGAGCTGGCGATCGCGAGCTTTATAATACGTAGTGCATAATATGGCACATTATGAGCTAGCTGGTCCGCAGCAGGACTTTCTCTCGGTCGATGAGCGCAAAAAAGGTTACAGGTAATAAGCGCAATATGGCAATGTAAACGGCCGTTCGTTATTTATACAAGAGCTGGAGCGACGATTGACGAGCCCAAGCAGTAGCAGACATCGCGATCCCTCTTTAAATATGATTGTAACTCATTTTCTCCTTTCGGCCCTCTTAGCGTGCGTCGCTCAGACTCCGCTACAATGTGACTCGGTGCACTGGCGGCTTGGGTGCGTTTAAGCTTATACATATACTTTAACTCGTGCTTGCGTCGACGCGCTTGTCTCTCTCGTGCTACTTGAAAGTTTTCAAAGGCGGAATACCGCAATCATCATCATGATAAAACATTTTGCTGAAGTCGCGAGCTCGGCGTCACCTCGCTCGGAGTTGGGAGATCCGTCGCAGTCGTCAACAATTTGTGCAGTTGCGAAACTTTACGCTTTGTGCGTTAAGGCAGTCGTCGTCGTCCGAAAATATGCGCCTACGCACGATTTGCGCAACGGATCGTTGTATTATTTGCTAGCGTACGCGCGATACGCAATATTTTGTCCTGAATACCTGGCGCAGCGATGCAGATAAGCTCCCTGCAGCAGCAGTGATATACCTTCGAATTTGAGTTGTATGCCTACAGTCGTCGGCGAGATGAATGAGACCTAACGAGGCTAGAGCGCTCCTGCGCCTGTACAAAAGAGACGGCGAGGCAGTAGCGGTGCAATCATAGCGAATACCTTTTTAAACGAAATCCAATGTGTTTTTCCGACTATTGTCTCTGGGCTCGGCACACCACTGATGACTAGATGCTGGGCATTGCTGCTTCAATGGTCCCTTTTTTTACAAAAAGAAAAAACTTTGCAACGCTCAATTAATCGAAAAGAGCAGCAATAATAGCTCGAGCGCGTCGCGAAAAGATTCAAAGTCCACTGCTGCGCGCGAGTATATACCTACCTATATATTATAAGTACATTCGTAATGCTGTACGTGCACGTCGACTTAACAATAGGTCAAACGTTTGCTCGTTTTTCATAATTCGATCGAGGCCCTTTTATATACAAATACAATAGCTTTCATATCTTATGCGAAAATCAAATCTTACGGGCAGCAGTCATCATATAAGGGCTGAGCGTGTAAAAATCCTCTCTCTCTCTCTCTCTCTCTCTCTTGCTCTCGCTCTCTGTCCATGTATTTACGGTACGTATATATAAGTGTTAGCGTGTGTAGTATATGAAAGACGCGAGATGTGCGATGACAAAGGGAAAAGCGCGTATTCAAATCCCAACAGCCACAACAACACACAGACACAAACATACATTGAGAATATAGCGGAAGCAAAAGCAGTAGAAAAAGACAGCCCCATTGTATCATCACTCGGAGGAGCTCGGGACGCGCAACACGGACGACGACTCGAGGCTCTCTATATATATACCTGCTACGTACCTAGCTGCTATATAGCTATATACGTGGGCGTTTAGAGCGACGTAAAAATTCTCCTTGGCTGCGAGCTCGAGGTTCGGAGGATAATTCGCGCGCGAGCAGCAGAGAGAAAGAGAGAGAAAGAGAGAGAAAGAGAGAGAGAGAGAGATGGACGGACACGCACGCATACACAAGTACGTGTGTGGGTACAGCAAACACAATATAAACTCGCGCACACACACAGAGCGAGACTTTAAGCCATACATATAGTGGCGATGCTTGAAAATAGGAGTCCGTAGAAGGGGAGCCGGTTTTGTGTACGTGTACGCGTGTGTAAGTAAGCACAGACAGCGAAGAGCAGCAGCAGCAGCACCAACGGCAACGGCAGCAGTGGAGTAGCGGAGTGGAGGGAGAGGTTACGGTCGCGGCGGCTCGCGTGTATATTCCCCTGGCTTGCCGTTAGCGCGCGCGCTCGACGCTCTCACGCTGCGCCTCCACTTTCCATTCAAAGCTCAGTTGCTCGCCGCTGCTCCGGAATCAAAGACGCGTCGCTCGCACCAACGTCGACGTGAGTCGCAGCCCGCGAGCTATACCTACATATGCGCAACGTATACCTTTCACACCGTGGCATCGACAAACAAACCCCTCGCGACAAATCAAAAAAGTTTCGTGAATCTTGTGGATAAAGTTGAATAATACAGCGAGTTCTATAGTGCTACGAGATAAAAGATTAAGCACAGTGTCAAAAGTGTCGAATGAATTGAGTTTGGTTTAAAGTAGAGAAGAGAAGATAAAGAAAGAGAGGGGAGTAGGCTACACATGCCTTGTTTGGCCAATTGTACAAGCCTAGTGTGCCGTGTTGTGAGTGTGTGTCGTCGAAGTTGAGTTGCAAACTTTGACAAGATTATGCATCGTCGATCGTGACAATCGTGCCAAGTGTGCTCTCGATTCCGAAAATCGAATCGCAATGGAGCCAAGAAGATCAACGCTAATTTTCAGCCTGTTGCTGCTGCTGCTGCTGCTGCTCGGCACCTCCGAGGCCCGGAGTCTGAGCAGCCACGAGTCGCCCCGAGGCTGCAGCTGGCGACCCGACGAAGAATCGACCCAATCCGAGGACAATGAGCAAGTGCCGCAGCTGGTATGCCGACTGCGGAGCATGTCGAACGCGCTCGGCGTCACGGGCAACCTCAGCTCCGGCCAGTCCGAGGCTCTGCGCTCCCTCGGCCTCGAGTGCCACGAGGCGCTCTTCTACGAGAGCCAGCTCGACGTCGTGACCGCCTCGACGGCCAGCGGGGCCTTCCTGGCTCACCTGCCCCGGCTCGAGCGACTCCGAGTCGATCACTGCCGCATCCAGGGTCTGCCCGCGGGCGTCTTCTCGGACGCGCGCGTACTGCAAAAGTTGCAGATTCACTCGCACAAGTCCGAGTGGTCGTCCTCGGCGATGGAGCTGAATCGGGACTCGCTGCGAGGCCTCGAGCAGCTCCGAGAGCTCGATCTGGCCGACAACAACGTGTGGACGCTGCCGAGCGAGTTCCTCTGCCCCGTGCCGAGCTTGACGACGCTCAACCTGACGCGCAACAGGTTGCAAGAGGTGGCCTCGCTCGGCTTGACGGACTGGTCGACGGCGTGCGCTCGCGACCTCGAGACCCTCGACATCAGCGACAACGAGCTGAGCGTCCTGCCCGATCACGGCCTGGCGGGTCTGCGCAGCCTCCTCGTGCTCAAGCTGCAGGACAACGTCATAGCCGCGGTCGGCGATCACGCGCTCAACGGCCTCGTGAACTTGCGCTCCCTCAACATGTCGACGAATCGCCTGGTGGCGCTGCCACCGGACCTCTTCGCCAAGAACCGAGAGCTGCGCGAACTCGTGCTCAGCAACAATTCGCTCTCGGCCCTGGCCCCGGGTCTCTTCGGCGGGCTCGATAATCTCCAGAGCCTCGATCTCAGCCGAAACAAGCTCACCAGCAAGTGGGTGTACCGCGACACCTTCGACAAGCTCTTCAAGCTCGTGCTGCTGGACTTGTCGTTCAATCAGCTGACGAAAATCGACTCGCACGTGTTCCGCGGCCTCGAGCAGTTGCAGCTGCTCAACCTCGAGCACAACGAGATCAACGTCCTGGCCGACGACTGCTTCCTCTCTCTGGGCAATCTGCGCTCGCTCTCGCTCTCGCACAATCGCATCGTGCGCTTCGAGGCCAGCCACAGCGTCGGCTTGGCCGTCCTCGACCAGTTCTTCCTCGACGAGAACAAGCTCCAGCACATCGATCGACGAGCCTTCGACAACTTCACCAGCCTGCAAGATCTCAGGTTGAGTGGCAACAGCCTCACCGAAGTACCCGAGGCCGTCCGTCAATTGCGCGATTTGAAGACCCTCGACATGGGCAACAATCGCATAACCGTCATCAACGCCGACAGCTTCGACGGCCTCGAGAAGCTCTCGGGGCTTCGATTGGTCGACAACAAATTGGAAAACATATCTCGCAAGGCCTTCGCCAATCTGCCTGCCCTGCAGATCCTCAATCTGGCCAGCAACGCCATCAGGCACATCGAGCAGGGCGCCTTCTCGCAGAATGCCCTCCTCATCGCCATTCGTTTGGACGGCAATCAGCTGACGGAGATTCACGGCGTCTTTCGCAATTTGCCCTCGCTCCTCATGCTCAACATATCCGACAACAAAATATTGTGGTTCAATTACGCGGATCTGCCGGGCAGTCTCGAGTGGCTCGACATGCACTCCAATCAAATTAGCGAGCTCGCCAACGACTTTTCCGGCAATCGAGAGGATCTGCGGATCAAAAAGCTCGACGCCAGTTACAATCGCATCGAGGAGATCAACGACGCCGCCATCCCCAACAGTGTGGAAAAGCTCTATCTGAACAACAACAAGATCCGCACGGTGGCGCCCGGCACCTTCATGCACAAGACTAACCTCATGAAAGTGACGCTGAACAACAACGACGTGCAACACTTGGAGATCGGCGCCATCGAGCTAGCACCGGTCTCGAGCGATCGCGAACTGCCGCAGTTCTACATCGGCGAGAATCCGATCCTCTGCGACTGCACCATGGAGTGGCTTCCGCGCATCAACGAGCTCAGCCGCATGCGTCAGCACCCGAGGGTGATGGACCTCGAGTCCGTGACCTGCGACATGGTGCACGCCCGGGCGGCGCCCAAGCGTCCTCTGCTTTCGCTCAAGTCCAAGGACTTTGTGTGCCGATACTCGAGCCACTGCTTCGCCCTGTGCCACTGCTGCGACTTCGACGCCTGCGACTGCGAGATGACCTGCCCGGACAACTGCTCCTGCTATCACGACCACAGCTGGTCGAGCAACGTCGTCGACTGCTCGAACGCCGGCTACCGAACGGTGCCCGAGCGCATCCCCATGGACGCCACCGAGCTCTACTTGGACGGCAACGAGCTCGGCGACCTCGGCAGTCATCTGTTGATCGGCAAGCGCAAACTCGAGACTCTTTACCTAAACAACAGCGGCATCAACAGCATAAACAATCGCACCTTCACCGGCGCCGAGAATCTCAAAGTCCTGCACATGGAGTCGAACGCCTTGCGCGAGATTCGCGCCCACGACCTCGTGAATCTGGAGCAGCTGACGGAGCTCTACCTGGATCACAACGCCATCGCCGTCATCGAGGACGAGACCTTCGCGAAGATGCGCGGTCTGCAGGTGCTGCGAGTGAACCACAATCGCATGGTCGACTTCAGGCCCTGGGAGGCCCTGGTGAGCCTCGGCACCCAGGTCGGCCTCGAGGCCAACTTCTGGAGCTGCGACTGCGACAGCGTGAACCGACTGCGCGTCTGGCTGGCCGAGCACCGCAGCGAGAGCGCCGAGCGCATGTACTGCCGCGACGAGGTCGAGAGCGTAGCCCAGGCCATTCAGCGCTGCAACGCGGGCCAGGCCCCCGTCAACGTCAACACGTACGCCTCGAACCACGGCTTGCAGGCCGGCAGCAGCATGGGTAACACGGTAGTGCGCCACAATCCAGCGGTGATCGGTGGCAGCTTCGTTCCCATGCTGGCGGGTGTGCTGGTGGCGATAATCGCCGTGTGCCTGCTCGTAGCCGTGGGCTTCGCCTTCCGTCAAGACGTCCGACTCTGGGCGCACTCGCGCTACGGCCTGCGCCTCGGCAAGCTCTCGACTCAGTGCCCCGAAGAGGAGCGGGATCGCCTCTACGACGGCTACTTCTTGTACAGCGAACGCGACGAGGAGTTCGTGACCCGCTACCTGGCGCCCGAGCTCGAGCAGTCGGGCTTGGCGCTCTGCCTGCACTATCGGGACTTGCCGCCGACCAGGCCCCAGGAGTCGCTCATACCAGCCGCGGCGGCCTCTCGACGCATCGTCATGGCTTTCTCGCCTCACTTCCTCGCCAACGAGTGGCAGAATCCCGAGTTCAGAGCGGCTCTTCGCATCGCGCTCGACAACATTCGGCCGGCCGTCAGACGTCGCTGCGTGATCATCCTGCTGGCGACGGACGCCCCGTGCCGCGACCCGGAGCTCCAGCTGCTCCTGCAGACCTGCACCGTCATCGTCTGGGGCGAGAAGCGCTTCTGGGACAAGCTGCGCTACGCCATGCCCGACTCGGCCGAGCACGTGGGAAAGGGCACGCACCAGCGCAAAGCACCGGCTAGCTGTCACCAAGCCGGCCAAGGGGGCATCCCGGCCCGTTACGCCGCGGCACCCTCCGTGGTGGTCGATGCCTGGGCGTCCAAGCCCGTGCAGATGCATCAGCAGCATCAGCAGCAGGCGGCCATGCAGACGCCCCTCGTCGCCACCTCGAGCACGTGCACCTCGAGCTCGGGCACGGGTGTGCTGGTGCAGCCTCTCCACGCGCCCACCCCGACTCCCACGCAATCGACCTACGTGAGCTCGGCCTCGAGCCGGACCGAGGACGAGGACAGCGGCCACGAGCAACAACAGCAGCAGCATCATCATCACCTGCACCACGCGCATCATCACCACCATCACCATCATCATCTGCAGGCGCAGCAGTTGCAGCCCCAGCTGGAGCAGCAGCACCAGATAGGCTACAGCGCGCTCCATCCGGCCGGGACGCAGCCGCGGCCCTCCAGCGTCAACTCGAGGCACAGCAGTCATCTGTACAGCACGATACCGGAGCTGCCTTACGGCACGACGGGACAACAGTTGCCCGTCAATCCTCGCACGTACTTCGTTTAAGCTTCGTAGAAACTCGAGCTTCAAGCGCAGCGCCAGTGAAAACTCGTCGGCCGCTCGACCCTGAGCGAGCGTCTCCTCTGTGAGTGTGTCATGTGCGCGATATATCGTTGTTGTCGGACTCCGCGCCAGTGAAAAGCAGTATATCGAAAGAAAGAAAAAATGAGTCAGACTATTTGTGCGTGTGTTTCTGTTGCTATCGATGGTGCTTAGGTAATAAGTAGTACACGTGATAATGTCTATGTTGTATTCGACAAAGAAAGACTATAACTGTTAGCTTTAATGAGATTTATAAATAGATAAATGCCGCGGCGCAGAGCCGTGGTGATCCACGATCGATATATATTATGTATAGTGACTAAATAGTGATATATAATTATAAAAATAAAATAATGTCGTTGCAGTGGTCTCGCATAGGCCACTCGAGAAAGCAACAGCATTTTTCGCATCGAAATGTAAATATTTAGGACTTTAAGTATCGCATGACAAGTATTTGTCCACATGCACGCATGGGAAAGGAAAAAAAGATTCCACATCCGCATGATACGTGTATTTTTAGGCCTCCAAAAGTTGCCGTATAGCACACATATAATATACAGTAGAAGCTCGTAAGGAACGCGAAGAAGATTGCGCGAAAAAAAAAGAAGAAGCATCAGTGCCATTTCCGTTGAAATAAAAAAAAAACATCGTTACTACATCGAGTGTGAAAGAAAGAAAGAAAGAAAGAAAGAGAAGGAGTGAGCGAGTGAGACAAAAATTCAGAGAGCGAGCCTAAGCGTAGGCATCGAGTCTTCATTACAGTATATAGACAACTTTCTCGTTTTATACCGAATATACGTATAAAAGCGTGGCTTTCGTCGACTCATCACCCTCACCGCAGCAATTACACCTTCCTCGCTCGAGAGCGTTTAGGTGCTATTGTTGCATATATTTATCCGTTGCATCTGAACTTGTTGGCTTTTGCGCAGGAGCGAGCCAAGGTGCGCGTCTTCGAACTTCTCGCATGTCATCGTCGTCGCACTCTCTTGTGTCTATCGTCTTCGTGAAAAACAAGAATGAGGCCCGAACACACAGACAAACACACGTATACATCAACAGTCGGACAGCCATATAAAGCGACTGATTGAATCTCGTAAGATGGCGAATTTCGTTTCGACTCGTGTGTGGCTCTGAGGATTTTTTTTGCTTCTTTATTTTTCTCTCTCCATCTCGCTCAGCCTACTACTTGTTTCTGGCACTCTTACTCTTTTTGCATTATCTCACCTTTTAATGTCACGCCGAGTCAACATTGAGCTCGTGCTCTTCCTTCTCTCTGTTCCTATGTACAAGACTGCCGCTCAGCGTCGAGCCTATGTATTTTTTAAGGCCAGCCTATACAGAGAACAGCTACACGGTGCTGCAACATGCGCAGCAGCGCAACACAACTCGCTGCACCGCAGCAGCCTTCTTAGATTATCCAATGCATCCAGGGAAGGCTTCGTCTGCTATACCATACACATTATATATCTGTGGCTATGCAACGTTATGTTGCTCGCGCAGACTTACATGCATGCACGTATACACACATTCCTTTTACTTTTTTCCCTTGACCTTTGTACATAATGTAACTAAATATACATATAGCTTAGATGTATTTAATGTTTCGTAAACGAGGCTTTTGAAGCAGAGCATTTTTGTATATATTGCGAATAGACGATGGTAAGAATCTTATTGTTACGCACGCGCATGTATTGCGTTCGAGGTCGTTTTTGCAAAGATATTGTTACAGTTCTGCATATAAAATATTGCGTTAGCTCGAGTGAACGTGCGGAGCAGGCCCCATCGAGATCTGCTGGCAAATTTGAAAAAGGGCTTGACTTTGTACGCAATAGCGACCTACGATTATGTACACTGCGACTGTAATTTTCATCTGCGTTCATAAGCTGTGTAATTAAAATATTTTGTCTATAATAAAAACAAACTTCGACTCGAATGTACTGCGCTTTAGATTTAGAAAGAAAAAATTGTAAATAAACTTACGTCATATGAATGTATAATTGTAACGTAAACTGCCAAATTTAACTTATCTATCAACTATCGCAAAATCTCTGTCTATAAAATGATCGATGTTGTATAAAATATTATAATTTATTATATAAGAGCCTATAAACAGCTTACTCGAAAAGCTGCCAAGTCAAAGAATTAATAAACTACCGTTTGTTATCAAAAATAAATTACAAATCTCATTATTAATAAACAAACCTTCCTCATTTTCTTATTTCAAAGTATTTAAAAGCTCAGAAAATATTTATATTGGCTTACAATATTGCACGAGAGTTACTCAACACTCGTAAATCATTGCTATTTCTACTTTTTAATTTGGACTATTTATATTTACGTCAGTTCTCAACATAATAAAAAATAAAGAATTGAAATGTCACGAGCTGCTCAAGTCAATGTGGAGCATTAAAAGTTTTCCGAATCGTTTAAATATTGAAATCGATATTGAAATAATATTGAAAGAAAATAAAAATGACGCTTTGGTTCTATGTCCCAAATTGGTTCAAATTGATTGACATGGTTATCAGCATTAAGCAGAGATGGACAATGAAATCAGTATCGACGCTTATTACTGTGAGCTACCTTCGCCCATCTTCCACTTCAAAAATGAAAAGAAGGTCGAGCAGAAAAAAGGGAGTATTAATTATCCAAAGGTAGAAGAGCTTGCGACTCGCACGAGTAAGTGTATCTCTATAGATTGAATACAGCTCTCAGTGGGACAGGACCATCCAAGTCAATTATTCTCTTTCGTATAATGCGCGTCACAGAGAGCGAGAAGCAGCCGAGGAGCACTCCTACAATATTATGCGCCCTTTCTATTATAAGAAAAGTTTCCGCCTCTTTCTTTCGCCCCTTGCCTGACTCCGCGAGCAGCACGAATTAATCGCGCGAAGCGAATAAACCACGTCCCGAAAATTCCTCGTGCATCAGCAGTTTTGAAGTCGACGCGCTCCTGCTGCCACTGCCACCGCTGCTGCTGACCAGCGCAGCAAACTTTTCGATTGTTTCAGGCACGAGCGCAAAGTTTGTTTCCGCAACCGGAGGCACGCCGAGTTGAACTAGACCCGAGAGCACGCCGATGATTTTCGTCCGCTATACCGGACCCAAGTTTTTTCTTTGCTTTCTGTCCCTCCCGTTGCCACTCTCTGTTTGGCCAGATGGATAGGTTATTATTCGGCACGCTCTGTGCCAGTCGAATCACTGTATAAGTTTCTGCCACCGTGGAAAACTGACTTTATTGCATCTTCCGACTCCTGACCAGATGCAGAAACACTCGAGACTTTTCTCAGCCTTCTTTTTTATTTCCGAATCTGCGAGCGATACTACAGACTTGGTAAAAAAATTTTAAATTACTTTTTGAACATATTGGACTGAGCCAAAGCATACACAGTATAAAAATTAAAATATCGATATTATAATACTCGTCCTAGTGTGGCTATTTCATCAAAAAGTTTTCTTTATGAGTAACGGACTGCCTGAACAGCTAATAAGTTATCTTTCCGAGCGACGAACCGAAATAACGTTCATTTTCTTTTTGAAGCAAATGCATGGGGTATTTAACGATTTCCAATACTAATTGGACTTCCCTTTGAATAGGACGGTTACACCATTAAATATTCTACTTCAATGTGACGCACATATAGAGATAAAAGCTTGATACGCACTGCATATAAGCCTTTTTCCTGTAGCCCTTCTTTTAATCGGAATTGCAGCAAGGCCTATACCAAGTAAACCCATTAATTTTATTTGCACGATAATAGCGGAGAACATGATGGCCCACCGCGCACACATCTGTCTTGGCACGTGTTAATGCGGTATGACGGAAAAAAATTTTGCTCGCCCACATATACGTAGGAAGTGCAGAAAAATATATGATGAGCAAAGTGTTAAAAGGCGTAATATACATGGCCAGACCTATAATATATGAAACGAAAGTATATAGAAGCCGCACTGCCGACTATATATTCTCGAATGTATGATTTAACGCAGCAAGCTTCAAGGTTGGCTTCGGAGTCCTGGCGAGCTTTGAAAAACAATCGATGCCAGGAAAACTTGATTGCGGCTCTTATCGATCATCTATATTATTGGTGCGCTCGGCAGCCACGAGCCTATACCGATGCACTACGGTATTGGCTATATGCATACGTTGCATATTTGTGATAGAGATATTTGTAAAGCGTAATAATCTATTATATGTACGGACATGATATGCCATGGGTATGAGGTCAAGGCAAACATGACCAGAAAAAACAAATTGGTATTAACTTTGTTTCGTGGAAAAATAATGGTTAAACCGACCTTATCTATAAAAGTTTAACTTACCAGATAGCACATTCAAAACTTGAACTCAGCTCAAGTTTTCATGGTAAAAACGTGTAATCGCAAACGCCCCCGCTTAAACAGTTTGATTTTCAGACAGAATAGCAGGTTAAGGAACAATTGTTCATACAACTTTTAAAAGGAGAAAGCCCGAGAAGGAAAAGCTTTTCTCTATCTTAAAAAAGAAAATAAAAAAAAAATGGGGGAAAAATAGCAGACGTTTCTCATCAACCAACCAAATAAGAAGCTTTGTAAGTTCTCGTCAATCGCAGCGTTTCTATTGTATTTTCCAAGCTCAACATTATTTCCACTAGCCATTGATAGCGTCCGAAAAAAAAGTCGTATACACAACAAAGAGCGAAAGCTCGTTAGTGAGATTTCTCTTGTTTTTTATTATTATTATTATTTTTTTTCGTACAGCATCCTTGATACGAAATATCTATCGATATAGTATCGAGATTCAAGGATCAATTGTTTCATATCTATCAAAGCGCAAGTCTCAGTTGTTACGGGAATTGAGATAAAGAGACTTTTCGAATGAGTCGTCATATTGACAAACGTCACGAGTGCGCGATATATATACGAAGGCTATATACATCCGACGATAATGAGGTGTGGTGTTGTCGTTGCTTCTCTTTTTTTGCAAGACGCGATCAACTGTCGATCTGCAGAGAAAGTAGAACAGATTTTTGCCTTCAATTCGGTACACTTGAAAACTTTAGAAAACCTAAGCCGTGTATCGACTTGGAGCGATATCGAACCTCTCAAAATATTCCATCTTTTTTTTCCCCCTTGCACAACGTACTTGTTACTTGCCACAAAAAAATCATAAAATGTTGCCAGAAAGCTGCACTAAAGCCGTACCCTTATTTTGAATGAACATTTTATAGAAAGTTGCACGTAAAAAGGCTTTTGAAAATATTACTATGAGAAAAGTCCACTTAGTACGTAAATGTTTAATTTTCGATGCTATGCTCCATTACAATGGTATACTCGATCATTTCAATATCAACGATAAATTGGTGATGATACTATATGTTGCTACTTTTACGAGCTCGATATAGAGTATGACATTTAAAAAGCATAGCACGTAAGCGGCTTCTATGAGCCACTATCTATGTGTTCTTGACAATGCATATTATTTTCACGATATGCCATTGATAATGCAGCACTAAATGAAATAATTCACGGGACGTGACGTGTCTTTGAATTTCCATTAAAATTGAAATGTATAAAGTATTCAGGGCGTCTGTATAAAACAGCAAATTTAATTAGAATAATCGAAGCTGGCTCATACGTATACAGCAGCTATGACTATCTATGTAATAGAGCGTAAGCTTGTGTGCGAGTATAAAAAGGTCGTTCACAGCCTGTGTCGCGTTTTATACTCGGCCTATCTCCGGCTCGTTTCTCCCCGTGCGCGCATGTATAAGCAGACGGGCGAAAGGTCATTAATTTGCACATCAGTTGATTTATCGATCATCAATCAGCAATCGCATAAACCTTCTAATGTGTGTTGGTATACATCTAGTATAGGAAAGCTATTGTGCAGCCGGCGAGCTCGAGTCTTCACGCCTCGCGAGAGCACAGCACAGAAGTGCTGCACGGCTGCTCTGGAAGCGAGCCGCGTTCGATGCATATTCGTTGCCGCTGCTGTCGCTCGTTATCTAAACCATCGATCGGTCTAGCGGTTAATGATGTTCGCTGCAAAGCACACATACACACACACAGACAGACACAGCAAGGCACACATTCGCAGGGACGAGCTTACTCTCGTACGAACTCACGAGGTGCATTTATTTATCAGCAATTAGAGATGATGCTGCCGTATAATAAAGTCAAAACGTAGATAAGAGTCGATAGAGGCTTTGTAGCTCATCGCAAATGCGCCACGGCTATTATTGTATTGGCTTGAAAGAGAAACCGGTTAAGATATTGTAACGGTCTATCCGTATGTGTGCTCGCGCGTCAATACGAATGAGTCTGCGATACATATATTGAAAGCTCCTCTCTAGCAGCGAGCGATCAGTAATAACGAGTAGCTATAATATACCATTGCCAATGTGGCGTTACATCCTTGATTGAATTTCGTAACTCGTCTTTTCGATATTGGTAATGCAGATGAATTGTTTTTACTATTTTTTTTTTTTTTTTCGAAAGTCAAGAGATAGTGTATGTAAAAGTTTGCGTGCGGCTAAAGCTGCGCGGCAAAGTTTCGCTGAATCGTCGATTTTCGCTACATAATACACACGTCAGTCGTAACATCACCCACATAGCTCAGCTGGCCGCGAGCCCGCGCGCCAATAGCTCAGGGAGCGCCTTCGCTGCAGTGGCCTTGTTCTCTCGCTCTACCTCACGCATCGACTACTTCTTCGATACTTTTCCTTCGACGTTTTTTTCTCGCCACGCGCACTGCTTTCGATGCTTTTTACTATCGCTGCTGCTCCTCTGTTCTGCTGCTGCTGCTTCCGCGTGGTAACATACATCTATACCGATTGCTATTCCAACATCTGCACGTCGATCATTCGGTCGACAGAGGAGAAAAAAGCAAAGTGCTGACCGACGTGCTCCAAGTGTGCGAGCTTGTGTGTATGTGTGCGAGTCCGTACTACGTAGGTTCGCCCATAGGCGAATGAGTTACGCCGGTTACACCGAGCTCGCCGATGTTGCTGCTGCTGCCGCGCCGATGGGAAGAGAATGCGCGTAACTCTTCTGTTTTTGTAGCTCGAGCTCGGCAGAGCTATTTGTAATATATATATTGGCAACCTGTAAAATTGCAGACTAGAAATTTTGAATTCTAATGCTTGTCGGCGGTAGAGGCGATG